TTTTTTTTGCTCAAATAAATAATCAAAGTTATAGTTTTTCGGAAGAGTATTAAAAATAAAGTCTACAATTACATTTTTTTGATTAGTTTTTATAATTTTATTTTAATTTTTATCCTTTTTTTTCATTTATTATTAGTAGAAAATCGGTTACGGCAATCGATATATATTTTTAGAATAGTGCTTATTGAATTTTATATGCTTTTTAAAAAAACACTTAGTTTGTCGAGATGTTTTTTATTTTGAAGAATCAAAGAAAATAAATCACTAAATCAATTATATGATTTTTAAAACTTTTTTTGGGTGGCGATTTTAACCTAGTTAACACAATCTAGGCTATAAATCTGCACTTACTAATTTACTATTTTGAAAAAGGGCTAATCTACTAACAAGTCAACTGATTGATATAATAAAGCATAAGTTTTGTGATCAATTTATGCATAATAAGTAATTTTATTAACGTTAAGCATATCTAGCAAATTATATCAGCACTAATATATGACACTAATATTTAGTTGAGCCACCCTCAGCATCATAGCATACCCTTACCTGATTGGGTATACTATTGACTAGCCCATAATAATATCTGGGTAGAATCGAATTTCAAGTAGCTTTGACCTTTTCTTCCAAATCTTCAATACTTGTAGATTTATCCAAAGAACTGCATAAATGGCTTTCAACCTCCTGCTAAAGGTTCTCTAATGGGTTTAAGTCTGGGCTTTGCAGTGGCCAAGGTAAGATGGAAATACCAGTATTATCAAAAAAATCTATAGCTTTTCTGGATTTGTAAGAGAGCATATTATCTTGTTGAAAAATATCTTTTCCATTAGAAACTAGTTGATGTATAGCAGAGATACCATATTTTCTCATAAGTTGTGTGTATACTTTACCAGTTATATGGCCATGAATAGGAATAATTGATCCTAATCTATACTATGAAAAACAACCCCAAAACATATGACTAGGATTACGATCCATAGTAGAAACAAGACACAATTCATCAAATTCTTCAGCAGGAATACGCCAAACTCTGATATTATGACTTGACGAAAATTGTCTAAAAAAAGACTCATCTGACCAAATAATATTTTATCATTGTTGTGTCGACCAATGTAGGTGATCTTTAGCTCAAGCATATCGTATTTTTTTTATTTTTTTAAAAAATTAGTGGTTTATGACGAGCAACACATAAACGAAGACCAGTTTTTTTCAAAGCATGACGTATTGTAAAAATAGAGACAGTTTGATTTTTTTCCTTATTCCATAATTCTTGTATTTCACGAGCACTTAGACGACGATGATTAGTTGGGGTGTCCAATGTCCTATGTAGATCAAATATATGTATAGTCTCATAGTAAAAATAACTAGTGTATTTTTTTGTGTAAC